TCTGCACTATATGCTCAGCATAAATCAAAAATCATACTCTAAGGAGGCACTATTAACTTGAATACCTTTCCTACATTTCATCTTGAATTCATTCATTTAGGCTTCACAACCCTCCTTCCCCTTCAGTCCCACGATTTCCTGGTGAAATTTGACTTTCTGCTGTTTTGACATTTACCTGGAGATTAACACCAAAAGTACGCCGACCGATTTGCGCCAATTTACGATCAAGCCTTATGACCTTGCCGCATGCGTTGCGCATAAGGAATACGGTATGAGACAGAGTAATGAAATGCACAAAAGTCCTTACAAGGCTGGCTATACTGTCTAGGCATTGTGGGAGGCTTACTGGAACTGAGCAGGAGGCCTGGACCTACAGAGTATCATCTTCAATGAGAGTGGTTGCTTGGGCCTGTTTGTTGGTTCTGGTTCGCAGAGGCAAGACCAGAGACGGTCCACTTTATGACTTCTCCCACGTAGTGGTGAACCAGTAGAAAATAGTGAAGTACCACAAAAAATAAGAAAGATACACAGAGATATCAGCAATCATTCTGAGATGTAGCATTACTAGCCAATTGTTATACTCAGAGCTCCTCTTTTCGGATTTTTGCGCTACTCTCTTAAAAAGTAAAGCTCAATTTGATATTCAGTAGAAATAATGGCATTCCCGTTCATCTCGACTCAGCTGTGGTGCAACGTTCGCTGCTGGTTGTTTTTGTCGACGAAAAATCGCCATGATTGTACAGCAGCATAGTACCGTTGTCAACACTGCCAATGGTACAAACAGAAAAATCCTGAAAATCATGCGGAATTCAAATGTCAGTAAAAAAAGTTAGAAGTACGCTCGATTGGAGTTCTCAAGCACCTTCCACATGAGTAAACGGGGGGAACGATTTTTCTTACAGNGATCAGGACCTCCTCCATAGTAAAACAGTTACTTTTCACAAATGGACGAGTTCTACAGCCCTGTTGAACATGTTGTGCAATTGCGTCAGCGATTGATTACGGTAACAACGTTCTTGAATTTTGAAATATTTTCATGTTTGATTTTTTTCGGGTCAGAGGTGCTTAGCAACTTGGTCCACTCACGCAAGAATAACATACTAAGGTGAAGGTGAAAAACTCGTCCAAAAGACTTCATCCTGTTATCACTTTCTTGACATCTTGGGTAAGCGGCCACCACGCTATGGATAGGGTTCTCTTCTCTGTAAAGAGATAAAAGCTCGTAATCCCTGTTCACATCGAGAGCTACATTGAGGTCCTAATTGGGCGGAAATCGTTTTCCTTGATCAACTATGAATCTGTCATCTGACCCTATGCCGGGGTAGGAGCCTATTCCCAGCCGTTATTAGAGCTGATGCCGCACAGTTTCCTGTCTGGAGCACTATGTCCACAATCGCTTCGGCGTATTCACTTTGCCATTTTCTAACAAAGACTTTGGGCGTGATTGTCGGCAATAGGACACTACCAACAGCAAAAGAATGTGGTGTCCGGCCGCGATGTTCAAACAAACACGCGACCCTTCCAAAAGTAAATTGTGCATGGAACGAATTCGTGAAACGTTCCAAGGTCATTGGGATTCCCGCTAGTGGTTGTACTTGTGAAGTACTACTCAAATTCAAAATACACTATTAGAAGTGGGAGGATGAGTCTTTCGACAAGGCGTAAGGCAATAAGGATCAGAAATGTCTTGGCAGACGCCAATACGAGGAAAGATTCTTTCAATTTTCTTTAAAACCAACCACCATCTGATTAGATTCGTTCAGTGGGTAGCGGCTTTATGCTATACTAGTGTTAATGAACTTTTGGGCTCCCAAGAGCCTTGGATGTTCTCCAGGCAGGTTCTGGGGAAAGGAAATTTGAACATTGATGAGATACTGCGAGGCCAAAGTGTGACTTATATCCAAGTGTTTGTGATTTTTGAACAGGGGACAAATGCGTGGCGCAGCCCAATAGTCAAATAAGCATTTTATACTATTACAATACTATTCCACATCATTCAACAACCACGGTAAAAGGTTCGTCATCTGCCCACATCGGAAGAAAACTCATACATGCCTCTTCACCCAGTTCCCTGCCCCGTCCTGTGGGATGGATGCCGAATATTTATCAATTCACCGTAGGATCGATCCGTTGGGGTTTCCCAGAGCAACCAGCTGACGAAACCAGAAAATGCTAGGAATCGTGAAACTTACAGAAGCTCTACTCGGACTCGCCGGCAGCAAGCATCAGAATCGCCGCAGCATTCATAGTATGAGAAGAAGTCTGATGGCGGACAGCGTCTGGAAAGAAGAACTAGCCATTCCTGGATCAGGACTGTTTTATCAGCAAAATGTTAAACTTTTGAAGTCAGGAGTTGATGAACTGAATGAGACTGCGCCATTCAATGATTTTCATTTTGCTTTTCTCAGTCCTTGAATGGTCAAGTCCACTTGCTTAGTAACATAATAGGGTCGGTGACTAAACTCAATTGAACGCCTCAGATGGGTGGGTAGTGCTACTTGTCCCAAGCAGGGCTCCCTTCAAAGGAGGGGGGGGGGACGGGGAAGGGAAGGGGGCGTTAAGAACCTTTGATACTTTGCTATTCTAAAATGTCACTCTGCGCCCATGAACAACCTAAACCCACTTGGAGATGTCTCCCACGTCTACTCGAATGTCAGCAATACTCCCAAGAATTTCAGAACGTAAATCTCTCTCAAGCAACAATTACGTCAGATGCGCACCTGTCAAGTTAAACGGGAACGGGACGAGTTTCAAAGACCATTCCCACACGCGACGAAAAGAACTTTGATTTCCTTCCCTTCCAGTCGTCATTTTGCATAGTGAAATCAATTAGTTTTCGGCATAATTTATGTATTTTCCAATTTTTTTTTTTGGTCGTCTCAATTTCGTCGTCGTTGATTGAATATTCGTCCTTTCCCAAGGAACCAAACTAGACCCACAGTCACTCGGTAGCGGAAGAGTGGCTTCCAAATGGAACCAGATCTCCCTAGCGTCCCAAAAGGGAAGGCAATTATGACGGTGTAGGTCTATCGGCTTGGTAATGATGGTTTTTTTGTTATTTTAGGAAAGGTTACGAAACGGTTTCAATAATAGGCAAATGCAAATAAAAAAACAAAACGAAAAATCAGGAGGAAAAAAGCTAAGGAAATAAATAAGTAAACAAAATAATTATGAAATAGATATATAATAGCATTAATAATGTGCTATGCAATAAAAATTGATAATAAGAAAAAAGTATTTTATTTAATAATTCTATATATTGGAAATAAGGATAAGATAAGAGATAAGAACAAACCATAGAACACAAATTGCCATAAATAGTAATGACAAAGATAACATACAATCACCATAAATAGTAATGACAATTTGAGCCCAATGTCTAGATATTAGCGACGGTTAGCCTTTTTGAAATGAGCCATGCATGCAGCATTTGCTGAAATTTCAAGCGGCAGACGGTTCCCTTTTAGACAGGGAATTACATTTCCAAGATGATTCCAGTTCGACTTCCACGAAAAGCGGAAAGCGTAGGTCCGATTTGGAGAATGGTAGTGGCTTATAGGAGAAGATTAAGGAAGAACCTGGCTAGACTATTTTTTACTTTTTATATTCACTCCTCTATACACTCTCGAAACTGTGTAGTAGCTGTAAGAAGTCGAAAATCTGCAGGAGAATGTTTAAAAAATATTTATAAGAGAATTTCGACTCCTGAATGCATTAACCGAGCGGCATTGAAGTTTCTCCCCTATAGGCCTTCCACCCACAGTCGGAAGAGCTGCGGTAAAATAGAGGAAAGGTCAACAAAAAGAGGGAGAACCCATGCATGACCTTCAAAAAGGTAAACGGCTAGAGTTTTTAGGATTCGATCAATTCCGCTTTGGGATACGCCAAGGCACTGGCTCACAGTGATATTTATGGTGGTGTTTGAAGCGTCCAAAACGACGGTGTCGAAAGAGGACGTCATAAAAATCGTTGGTGTAAAAAATGAGGGAAGACTTGTCGACTAGAATTTGTACTCAAGATAAATATAGGTTTCGTTCATACCATCACACCAAGGTCATCGGATAACGGTGTCTTTCAGTGAGACGAATCACCGCAGGAATTAATGGGCTAAAGGGATACGTATATGTTAGTAATCCCTTCAGAGATACTCTATGATCTTGGATCAGGAAAGGGATTTTTTTTTGAGAAACTTCATTCAAAACTTGGAGTGTAGATCTGGGTGAGATTAGAGAGCCTAATGACTCACCTCGACCACCACAGAAAGGCAATGACCAATCTCACTGGCTGCCTACACAGCCTATTTTCCGGGCAACATACACTCAGGCGTAAACGCGAAAACGATCCTCTTTTGATGTTAACGTTCTGCACAGATATTTCTTACGGCCTCTGGAGGGGAAGGTGAAAGTGTCAGAGGAGACATACCGCATTGAGCCAGAAATCAGTGGGAAAGGGGCAATAGTAGGGTTGGACGACTGTTTTACAGTAGATTGCCACCACTCTTTAGATGGTAGGAAGACTCATGTCTGGTTCAATTTCACATTTCATACATTGGTTTATGTTACAAGCAACTTTGCGGTTCGATAAAAGAAAATCCTAATCGAAACTAGATCAAATGGGATCTGGAAATGCAACCACCTCCCGATTAGGTTGTTGTTTCGAAAAAAATGGAGAACAAACTTGGTACTCCAATTTCCCAAAAAGTTTGCGAGCTACTGAGTTTTACTTAAAATGCAGCGCTGACCGAGAATAAAGCAACCCATGAATTCGACAGGCACCTCTTTAGAAAGCGCTCCAACTGAGTTCATCAATTAGGAATCTATTCAAAATGGCATTTTTTGCTTGACTGTTTTGTTTAATAGAACCAAACATGCAAAAAAGTACGCATTCGTAGAGAGGAACAAACCACACCTACATACTACCACATAGGAGTTTCGACGAGGGGGTGGGGAAGAGCAGACATTCTAGCTTGCTCGAGTGATTCTGGGAGTAATTGTTTTTCCCTACCTCGAAGGTTTTCCATGACTAGTAATCTTTTTCCTCCCAAGTACCTCGAATGTATTCCATGACTAGTAATCTTTTTCCTCCCAAGTACGATCCTATGAGTTCCTTCTTTTGACTCTTTTCGATTACCCTTGTATGGCACGGCAAAACTCAGTGGACAATTGAAATCAAGTAAACATTGAGAGAAACAAGTGAAATTGTGAAAGTATGAGTAAAGGTTGCGAAAAAATAAAATTGTAAGCAAGAAACATACGAAAAAAATAAAATGAAAAATGCTGTCAAACAAAATAACAAATCAACAAGTCTCTGCCTCTGAATTTAAGCCAACAAACTGACCTTGGTGCCGGTCGTGGACTGTTAAAATACCATTTCCTATAGCAGACGACATCATCTGGATAAGAGTAACTTAGATCAACGAGAAGATAGAGTATAGTGAAGGTGAATGGATGCATTTGTGACGAATTTGTGAATCGTATTCAGGCCGCTCCTTGTACAAACACACCGAATAGCCGCCGCCCACAACGACCGTCGGTCGAATAGCGGCGATACATGCACCAGCAACGATGATGCGATGACGACAACGAAGGTGAAAATCGGAGTGGTCCGTTCCGGCCTAAGCGCCGAGCAGTCTGATTCATCTCCTCCGTTCTGATAGTGCACTGAAAAGCTCGTGATCTGAGTCACCATCTCCAAGCAGAATAAGGCATTGTCAAATTCCCAGCCCTCCAAGAATCCCTGATACAAACTCTGAATGAATGGAGTAGTTAGTAAAATCAAATTAATTATTCTGTATTGTAATGGTTTCCGATGGCGGTGGTGGCATGAAGGCAAGTGGCGCTTTATCACAAACGGATGGGTACGGGTACGAATCCAGGATATCGATACCCGTCCAGGCCAATTGAACTTTACATCCCTCTGGGGTCGGTTAATTGGCAGCAGAGTCGTCTGAAAGGATAAAAGCACTAATTTGCATATCGGCTGGACACCACAAATCACTGTATACGCAATAAATTTGTCTCTGCGATTCTGACCGGAAGTCAAATGCGGGGCGCATCCCAAAATGGGGTTGACTAACGCCAGAAACTTTGTTCTTCGAACTTCATCTTTCGACATAAGCATTAATCAACAGAGTGAGTGAACTACTCGAAATTTTTTCTCAACTCTACAAAACTAATCGTTCTCTATCCCGAATGAACTGATTTTTCATGAATTATGTTACCATTCAATAAAACATAAAATATATTGGTATTAATAAAATTTTCAAGCGTATAAATTGATTCCGCAGCAAACGACCTTAATGCCATCTGTTTCTTTGTTACTACTTACCGCTTTTCAAGTCAAGTTCAGAAAGCTGTTGAGAAAATGAAAAAAAAGAATGATTAGGAACTGTCTGATGATCGTAGTTCACTTTTTTGGTCAGTTCACGACTTGTTTGCTGAACGCCCACTTCCAAAAGTCTCTTTACTCAAGAGTCCCTCACTGAATTCCGAAGTTGAGCATTACTAGGCGTGTCGATGAGGTCGAATGACGCCTTTTCGAATATTACAGACCATTTTCCTACGGAAGACCCACCTGCACCACACCCTTTCTCCCCAGATCCACTGTGTTGCTTCGACAGCTTTCTGCCGCTAATCTCAAGAGTGAGGAAGAGCAGGCGTCAGGTAATGCCGAATTTTCAGTCGGAAGTGCTCCATTCTTAGAGTCAAAGTTTCATAAAAAAAAATCGGATTCTACGAACGAGGGGACATATGGTGTTGTAGGGCAGGAAAAAAGCTTTCGGATAGTATACTTACTGTGACGGATGATACACAGGTCATTTAAAACAATAATAAAGGCAAAAACACTGCAAATTCATTTCTCAATCCAATATTTATAATAGTTAGGGGGTCCCTTGAAGTTTGCCTAAACAAAAAGCTTTCGACTTTCATTAAAAATCAAAATGGCGTTTGAACGCATATATGGTTTACACAATAATTTCTGTTGGCCACATGATTTGAGAGTATGCGCCGCCTCCGCTCATGATTACTCGGTTATATGATCTTAGTATAGTACGAAATGATAAAAGAAAAACTTTTTTGAAATTGGCTATAGCCCACATTTGAGAGGGGAGTGACCTTTATTCAGGACGTCACTCAAACAGCAGAAAGATCTGCTTTTCACAAAAGGAAAGAAGGAAAGGGTTCTGATCTAACTTTATGACGGCCTGAGACATTTTAAGTGATTGTTACCATTCTCCACGCTTAGATTTTGAAGATCCAACTCAACAGAGTAAAGTAATTTTTCCTGGACTTCTCACTGCACTCAATGCTGAACAGGTGAGCCACAGGGTCCTAATAAATTGAATAAATAATGTTTAGTAAACATCTTTTTTTTACTACAAAGTAAACAAGACGTGCGTGAGGTTTTTTCACGGATCGGTGTTCTTTTCACTGCTGGGAACAAACAAATAGTACGGAAGGGTGACAAGGAGCATCCTTCACACACGCCTTAAAGCACTAACGGGACTGTAAAAAGTTTGTTTTCCTCCGCAGGACACTCTCCTCCACTTTTGGTGTGCACCTCCTCGTAACCGGGCTTTTTCCCGGAAAGTTTTCACTTCAATGTCCAGAAAAGTTGATTTATTATTCGATTCAAAAGAAATCAAAGGTCTTTACTCGTCTGCGCTCTAGCACCAACAGCAGAGAATCTGAGTATAAACGCAGGAGCTCAGAAAAATCAGAATGTCACGGTACAAAGGCCCTCACCTCAAGCTTCCTCAATCCCAATAAATAAGAGAAAAATCGAAGGAATGAAGAGCAGCGTTGAATTGTTTAAATCTGACAAAATAATATTATTACTTGCGCACAACGCCAAACAAAAAGGCTTCAAATTCTAGCGAACTTCGGCATTCATATTTATTATGTATCGCACTTTGTAAAATTACATTTGGCACTGATATTCCATAGAAAATATGTGAAATTTGAAAAAAAGAAAAAGAAAGGAGGAACGGTCGTACAATAAGTAATCAATCAATCAATAAATTGATCAGTTCGTCAATCATATAACAAGAAGCAAATCGGACAAAATAAGGCAGTGATATGATAGCTCTATATATGTATATGTATCTAACGCATACAAAAGGGCATACACACATGCACATACACACACAGACGATGTGACAGACATACATACACACAGACATACGCACACACGTAACCCGAGGGTTTCTCATCTACAGCTGGCGAATACTCCTAATCCCCCAAATACACAGGCCACATAAAAGAGGTGGATATAGTGAAGTGGGTTCGGGCTCATAGGCGATCCCTTGGGGAAGAAAAGGAATCCCAGACGTGGACCGTGGGGAAAACGGAGAAATGTCATGTGCTCAGTAGACAGGAGTTCGGCCGTTGCCACCATGTTGTTGAGACTTGATTTTCATATTCTCAAACGCCTCGTAGTCAACTGGGGGTGTGTCCGGTCGAGAGACCTGAAAATTGGAAGAAATTGGAATCGATAGATATTAAAACCTGTGTATAGATTTAAAAGCTGATCAGTTTGTATCTCAAAATTCAAAATTTGGAATAAATTATTGCCAAAAGGGGTGAAAACATGCAAAAAAAAAAATTGAAAAAGCAACCATGCAAATGTGCGAGCGCAGTCAACTCAAGAAAAAATTGAAAAAGCAACCATGCAAATGTGCGAGCGCAGTCAATATTTCTAGGGTCTTAAATGATCTAAAAAGGAAATAAATAAAGCCATAGAAACGACCTGAATCAGAAGCTACTGAACTGTACCTCCAAAAGTACCTTATGGAACCTAGGCTGCATCCGGGCTACAGCTCGTATCACTCAGGTCCTGATCTCAGTTAACTTCTGAACCATAAATTCAACGCTGAGTCGTTTTCACTTCATTACCTGCCCCGCGACAACCTGGATACGAGCTGCCTTTTGAATATCAAAGTATAAGGGCCAAAAGGACCATGTGCGAAGTAGAGACACTAATTCTTTTTAATTTTCAGCCCGAAGAAGGCGAAAGCCTGGGTTTGTGGATGGGTTCTTGCTGGCTAACACCTCATTGCAACCAAAGCTATCATCAGACAGCGTTATTTTTTACTGTTCCTCCCTCAAGCTCTTCCTGAGAATTCCAGTTCAAGGGGATGAGGATCGAGTATGAAATGGATTAATATAATTCGCTAAGTGTGTCTGTTGGTGTGTCGGTGTGTTTGTGTGTGTGTGTGTTTGTTTGTGTGTGTGTCGGTGTGTGTGT